TTAGGACCTGAGACGTAGGTACAATCTGATCCTGTAGGCCGAGCTGCTCTACAACCCTCGATCTGATTATATTTGCTGAGCTACCTGGATCCACTAGAACACGTTTAATTTGAATTTTATTCAAAAGGATAGAAATTCCCAAGGCGTCGTTGTGTGGCTGAGATATGCCTTCTACTTCCTCGTCGTATAATGATAAGGCGTCTTAGGCACATAGCTCCGGGTTCGTTTTTCTCTGGTGATTGATACCTTGGTGCGTTTGAACACAGGTCCTTGTGGATGTCGACACCGCCAATGATCATATGGATTACATGTTGTGGTTCTTCCTGCTCATTTTTTCTTGCATCTCTTTCCCTGAAATGGTTTGTAGCTCGATCACTGAGGAATTCTCGAAGATGGCCCTCGTTGAACAACCGAGCTACCTCCTCCCTTAGCTGCCTGCAGTCTTCGGTTCTATGGCCATGTGTGCCATGATACTTAGACATTAAATTTGGATTCTTATGAGAAGGATCGGTTTGGATTGGCCTGGGCCACCTGGTATCTTTGATTCTTCCAATAGGTGACACGATCCCTGATGCGTCTACACTGAAATTATACTCTAACAATCGAGGTGCCTCCGCGGGATCGATATGTTTATAGAATCCTCTCTTACTCATGAATCCCCGAAATCTCTGTCCTCGATCATTCTCCGATCATTCCGAGGGGCATTACGGCCTGAAACATTGTTTCTCCGATCAACATAGAGTTGATACCGTTCTTTGTTTGACCTTGATTCCCTATTTGTATCCCTCGGGGGCCTGGCTGTCGATCTGTTAGGATGAACTGAACCCGAGGGGGCTCCCAACTGGTCGTCCTCGACCACGATCTTCGATTGATAACGGTTATGCACATCGGACCACGTCACGGCTGGATACTCGATCAAATTCTGCTTTAACTTTCGAGATGCAATAGAACTCTTTTCATTCAAACCCTGCATGAAAGCTTGTACTACCAAGTCATCCGAGATCGTTGGTAATTTCATTCGCTCCATCTGAAACCTGGACACGAACTCTCTCAACATCTCGTCGTTCCTTTATTTTATCTTGAAGACATCCGATTTTTTCATGGCCACTTTTATGGCCCCGGCGTGTGCTTTCACGAAGGTGTCTGCTAACATATCAAATGAATCAATAGAATTAGGAGGTAAGTTGTGATACCAAATCATAGCTCCTTTTGACAATGTTTCTCTAAACTTTTTCAACAAGACTGATTCGATCTCAGCGTCATTCAAACCATTTCCTTTGATCCCGCAAGTGTATAAGGTAATATGCTTGTTAGGGTCGGTTGTCCCATTATATTTGGATATATCGGGCATGCGAAACTTTTTAGGGATGGGCATCGGAGCCACGCTCTGAGGGAATGGTTTTTGTATGAACTTTTTTGCATCTAAACCTTTCAAAACTAGAGGTTTCCTCGGTATCTGGTCAACAGGGGAGTTATAAGTCTCCACCTTCTTATCATTGTCCTCAATCTTCTTTTCCTCGGACTCGATCCTCTTGGTGAGCTCTTCGAGCATCCTCATAATAGTGGGGTCAATCCCCGAGTCATTTTCGTTCGACCTCTCCAGCGCTAGTTCAACACGCCGAGTGTTTTCTGGTTCAGCGAAACTCGGAGTTTTATTCTGACTTTGAAGTTGAGCGATGTCGATCTGCTGAGCTTGCAGCATCTCGTATATTACTTGGAGGCTGACTCCCCCATCTCCTATACCTGGTGTTCCTTGGCCCCCAGATCGGGCTTCCCTCCGTACACTCGCTCTGGGGTCTGCGTCTAAATCTGCATTTAAAGCAAAGTGTGAACTAATATCAACTGGTTCCAGATCTGGCACTTCCCCTAGGTTCATTGGTGGTACACCGACCCCTGCATTGTTGTTTTCTCCAAGACCTTTGTTGTCATGAACATGTGCATTTTGTGAGCTAGACATGTTTCGGCCTGAGAAAAAATTCTTGACAAGAAAAAGTGTAAAAATAACGTGTGTAATGAGAATCAGTAAAGAAATAATCACTATTATCTTTAACCCCACGGTGGGCGCCAAACTGTTTACCTAAAAATACGAGTAACAATTAAACTTGATTTGTGGTTTTAAAGATATGTGATTAAATTCAATACCAATTAATATTCAAGAAATATGAAGTAGAAATGAAAGAAATAAGTGAGTCAAACCAATATTACTCAGCAGTGGTGACCTCGAGTTTAGTGACCTCGAGATGAACTAAGAGCAATAAAATAAGAATAATAAATGTAAAGGACAATTCTGATGAACAGTAAGAGAGAAAAGTAGGATGGTATATTATTTTGCCAATGATGAGATGATGTTACAAATGATTGGGGTCCCCTTTATATAATAGGGGAACCCTAAATAAGGTATATTTCTATTTACGGTAAGGAATATCCTTAATACAGTTGTCTAACCGCCTAGTACAGAATCGTACAATCCTATTCCGGGATTTGCGCCATGATCTTGGGGATGTGGCAGGAATCTAGCTCATTCTGTTACAAATCCATAACGGTATATTTTCGGGGTCGAACATACTTGACTTCGGTATTTCTCGCACTCCTATCTTCGAGCATTGCATTCCGTCCTCGAGCTCGAGTCTAGTCTGTCTACCTCGAACTCGAGCTTACTTAAACTCGGACCTAAGGTGATCCCTCAAGCCTGGAAATCGGATGGCGAGCGAAGAAATGTTGTCTTGGTAATCAGCAGATTGAGATCTAAAATTTGTTGCAGCTGATTATATGAAAGAAATAGATAGAGTATCCAGATTAGGATGATACAACCATTAAACTTCAGTATGCACACTAAAATTTTTCAGTGTGCATATTGTTTGTACAAATTACATATCACCAGCTCAAGATATTACAAACATATAACTGCAGCATAATTTCTGCAAATTTAGTAGTAATACATTATTTGACGTAGGTTTAAACATCGACTGACTAAGTGTATCTGACATTTATACGAGTCCAAGTGTAAAACAACTCTTCTTTCCTCCAGATGATATTATTATCATATACACGTAGCTCTAAGATTAATGCTGAAGTTCAGCAAATACAAAACAAACTTCAGCTCCTAGAATGTTGAAGTTCAGCAAACACTAAACAAACTTAAGCTCCCAAAATGCTGAAGTTCAGCAATTACAAAACAAAAACTTCAGCCAAAACATGTTGTAGTTTTATTGAACTGAAGCTTGCCATTGCACTATGAACTGAAGTTTGCGTGATTGCCTTTGCAAGTCAGGCTAGACTTCAGGCAAAAATATCTGAAGTTTTGCTTTGATAAGGCTACACTTCAGGCAAAACATTCTGAAGTTTGTTCAAGCTTTAGACATAAATTTTTGCTACTCCAAGCCCGTATGTCTGAAGTCATCCGAAAAGTGGGTACGCTTGCAATTTTTTTTGCAATGCTGGCATAGGTTAAAAGGTGATCCAAAACTGGGTATAGATGCAAATCCCTCAAAAATATCACTGTCAGATTTTTTAACAATTTCAAAAATTACCCCCAAAATTTGTATTTTATAAAAAAGCCCACCATCTATTATGACCAAACTAACCACCAACTAATTATTATCATTTTCTTTTGGGCTGATGGATCTTGTAATATTATTGTAATTTAACGAATTATAGTGGCTAGTGATTGTGTTATTAGCAGTTGATATTAAAAGTATTAGGTTATGATTTTAGGCTAGTATACTATGTAGTTCATTATAAAAATGATAATTTTGTGCCAAACTTATCTATGTTCAAGACTATGGTTTGTGATAATGATAACAAATGGCATGGATGAATGTTCTGCATATACAAGAATAGCTAGTTTGTTTGTTTGGTATTGTTGGGTATTTTTGTTAGTTTTTAGAATTTATGGGTATAAGTCACATTTCATAATTTTTCAAAAAATAAGTGAAATATATTTTAAAAAATTATGTCCAAACAGATTTTCATTTTCAAACCAAACTTCATCCAAATCAAAATTTTCAAAATAAATTTAGAAATCTATGATTGAAACGTTAGCTTAAATTCACGTTTGCAAATTCCTTTCAGATACCATAGTAGGTACTCCATAGTACTAGGAGTTTCTTTTATACCAATCTCTCATAGACACGTAATGAAAAGAGTCTCTACTTGGGGCTGAAGTTGCGGGAAAGGTCAAATCAATTGTCACAATAAACATTGAAAGGGAGGTCTTTTTAAGGTCAAATTCTCGGGTCCGAAGCCGCTATGGGTCTTTTGAAATTTTTTAGGAGAAATTATAGTATATACTTTTTTTTTTTGTTGCTAATTATAGTACTATATACTTAACAGTGCCCAGTTATTTGCTTAACAAAAGTATTGAAGCTTGTGACGTTTAAACCTCTTCTCATGGTAAAATGAAAGATCAATGTGTTGCTTTTTTACCCTTTTTTTCCTTTGGTACTAACTAAATTCAAATATCAGAAGGATTATCAATTTGCCACCATCAAGTATAGGAGCTGTGATTTTAACCTCTTTAGAATTTATTGGGGACACATTGATGATTGAACCCCTGATCAAAGTGATACTCTAAATGGTAGTGCAATTACTATGAAAATATTGGGAAAATGTTTTATATCTCTCTTGTTTTGTTGGATATAAAATTACAAAAGATATATATAATTACATAATTTATAAGGTAACTGAATTAAACTCGTAACTATGATAAAAATTGCAACATCTGACCACAAGACTATCCCTGCAAGTCCAATATGAAACTTTCAGTGAATTATCTAGTTCAATATGGCTTTAATGAAAAAAAAAATTACTTTAATACATTTTAACCTAATCAATATGTAAAAGTTAAACCTATAAAACTACAGGACTCAAATTTACTTTAACCATTTTCAATCCTACTCAGCTGGGTTATACTATATGATCATTTTAATCTTGAGCTAATGTGTAATATTCCGAGACCAAGATCAACGGAATACAACTATACAAATCAGCACTTTGATCCAAATAAGCTTCATAGACAGAATCAAGAAAAAGGAAAGAGAATCAGCATCAAGAACAAGACGCTACAAACTAGATTACACATCACAAATGTCGTTTGCTAATCAAAAGTAACCAAAAATTGTAACGAAAAAAGAAAAGAATGGGTAAAGTTTGGAATTAAGGGGACTAAAAGGCACAAATGAATGGGTAATTTCTGGAATTAAAGGGACTAAAAGGAACAAATGAATGGGTAAAAATCTGGAAGTAAGGTGACTAAAAGGATGGATTTTTATTTTTGGTAAATTGGCGAATGAAATGGATTATCTAGTAAAAGCAAGAATTTTAAATTGTGCAGTTGATTACCACCGTTGATTTGTATAAGAAGAATATAGACCGTTGATTATGGATCCTTCTCAAAGGATTCAGTCCAGAACTGTGAATTCTGATCAAACGGACACAATTGAATCTTCTTCTGCTTCACTAAACCACACAGCAAACCACCACCGTCAGATTTCAAATCTTTCTTTCCCGCCATCTCTACAGCTGTTCGCACACTGTTCCAGTCTTTCAACGCCGTAGAAACCACTGACGACGACGAAGAGGTCGTCGAATCAGTGCCGTCGGAGAAATCACAAGACTCGCCGCCTGATGATTGCTCACTCCGCTTTGATCCTCCACGGCTAAGCCGCCGTCGCCGCCATCTACCGCTCTCTTTCTCTTCCATCAAATCACGAAAACACACAGCAGCTAATCCATTCAACAACGAAAAATCCGTACCACTGTAAACCGCGGCACCGATATTCAGAACTCCTTGGAACCTTCCAGAAGGCCGCCTAATTTGTACAGCTGTGAAAGCCGGAGTTGCAGTACTAATTCCAGAATTCACCATTCCTTTGAAACAACTACTTAACAGGAGACGCACAGTACCGACGAGGAAATCCTTGAGGACACCAACGGCGTAGATTTCAACGGATACGCCAGAGGTATCGCCGGAAATGAATTTCCGCGAAACACGGAAGAGGAATTTGTCGTTCCAGGTAGGATTTTCGCCGCCAAAATGATCGATCTTGGTACGGAGTTTATTAGATGATTCAACCCAGATAAGTGCGTAAGTTTGCAAACGGCGGAAGTTAGCGATTGGGGTTTTGAGGGATTGAGCAGAGATCAAGTTGATCTCCAGAATTTGAGTATTTTCCTCTTCCATGTCAGTTTGTGTTGTTGTTTCTCTCAAATTCTACTTCTTTTCTTTGTGTGTTAATAATACATGTTGATGTATGACTGAAAATTGATTGGGCTTAACAAGAAATGACGGAACTTTTCTTGATTCAATTCATGGTTTCAGATGAGCAAGACCGCAAGCGAGAGAGAGGGCATAGTCTCTCTCCCTGCTGCCAGCTGTAATGTTTCTCTTTGGAATTACATAAATACCCTGAAATCTGTTTGCTTGAAATGGTAATGGGCTGGGCCGGGTTGGGCTGGCTACGAGTCGATATCTGTGAACGGCCTGCTTAATTCCACCTCTCTCTTATCTATATATTCTATATATTATTAAAAGGAGAGGAAAAAGCCCTCTCCTTAAGTCAAGTGGCAACCTAAAAAAATGCCACATGGAATAATTGGTTACTAATTAGTTATTTAGTTTATAATTAGTTATTGGTTACTTATTTTTGAATTTAAATACATATCAAAAAAGAAAATAATAAAATACAATAAAAAATTACCATATATATTAATTGGTTACTTTATTTGGATTAATAAATATAGATATCTTATAATTAAATATAATTAAAAAAATTATAAATTAAATATATAAAAAGTAACTATTCATTCAAAATGGGTGGGAGTAGTTTCAAGTTTGAGTTTTTAAATTATTTTAAAATAAAAAACGAAATTAAAAAAAATAATGAATTACCAATTCAAATTGG